GGCGAATATCTTTAAAGCTGATATTATAATTTAGCGCGCGTACGCGCGCGCACCGATTCAAGATGTGTTTATAAATGCTCTTTATATATGGTGCATTATTCAATGATTGTATTTCTGATTTTATATGGAAAAACAATTTTTTTCTTTATAACATGATATTTTATACTACCGTTGCGGCTTTGACAGATAAGCTAAACTCTTTGAATAAGAATCATCATTGCTTTAGAAATAATTTCTTTTAGCAACTTTGTTACACCTTTATGTATATATTGTTTTGAATTTTAAATACTTTCCATCGAATTAATCAAAAAGGTCAGTAACAGGGCTATATTATATGAAATTGCTACATAGTGTATTAATTGTCAACTTCTATTTGATGAATCATAGGAAACCAACAGGTTTGATTAAGTTGCTTCATATGGCATAAATAAATTAATTTATATAATTTTTTTAAAATGCAAAAAATAAATAAATAAATAATAAAATAAATAATAAAATAAATAAAAAAATAATAGTATATATTAAATATAATATATTAAACTTTACAGAATTGAATATTTTAAATTGAAAAAATTACAAAAAAAATATAGATGCAGCATGATTCTTAATAGATTAAATTCCAAATCTCTTATTATAAATTTAATGAATAAACTTACAAAACATAAGTTCTGATAATATATTTCAAACATAAAATACATTGCTTCATCGTTCCAAGCGTCATGTTCCTTTGACTATCTTCATATGGCAGTATGTATCAATTATTATGACACGGAAGCCAGAAAGTTAATCGAATTCATATGCGCAAAAAATCATTGTATATTGCATGAATCGGGGAGCGATCGAAATATTCACATGATCGAAACGAACAATTATACGAAGCATTAGTACATATCGCGATAAGAGGATAAAAAGACGATAGAACGGTCTTTCTTCCCGAAGGTAGTAATACTCATGACTGTTTGATCGACCTCTTCGGACGGGGAAAAGAATTTCCCGTGGGTCCATGGTAGTGGAACAAAGTCCTCAAAGAATAAAGATCGCCCAGCTAAAAACGTGGCAAGAGAAGTGGCGCCTTTGACCCTCATTGTCTGCGCTCTTTGCCCGTCGCATGCACGGCCTAAAGGACTCTGTTTATCTTTTTCGCTTTCTTCTCTTCCCCTTCGTCTCATTCGCGACAATACATACATACTCTCTTCCCCTCTTCGCGCCCTCAGTAAGCCCCTATACGCGTAACTACACACCACGGAACCCTGTCCCTTTTCGAACGGTTTTTCCTATCAATCTTATACATGTAGTTCAATTTTCTCAAATCGATATTGAATAATTAAATCTTTTGAACATATCAAAGGGAATACTGTATAGATATACGAAAATGTGAAAGTGTTTATCTTAGATAGTATAATAAAATTAGAAGTTTAAAATAAGTAATTTAAAAATTAATTAGATATTCTTTTATCACCAAGATTTTTGGAATTTCTGACATTAAATATAGAAATATAAATAAGGAAATACTATTAAATTTAACTAATTTCTATATTATGAGTAGTTTTAACTTGTTCATTTCTTTACATAATGTCGATTTATATCTAAAAAATAACAATATTTATTTTATAAATAAATTTTTAGTTTAATTACAGTTTAATTATTTAGTTTAATTTTAAATTTAGTTTATCAGATTTTCTATTTATACTACTATTTTTTAGCCTTCATAAACAAGCTAATAAACATAATAAATTTTTTGACTGTTTTTCTATATTCTGAAAAAGTTAAATTCAATCAATTGTACGGAGTTTTATTTCTATTTGTAATATTTATTTTTGAAAATAAGATAGTAACGTAATTTAAATTTTATATTTTATATTTAAATTTTATTATATTTCTATAATGCAATTATTGATCAATCGTAAACTAACAATAGAGCTTCTTGAAACTTTCAAATTTAAAAACATTCGCAAATAGTCACGAACAACCGTATAATAAGAAACCAAGTTTGAAAACTCGGCTTCCATGAAAGAAACGCCCTAATTATATCTCGTGGAAAAATAGGTACCGAGCAATTACGTATTTTCATTGTTTCTTTTTTTTTTTTTCAGGCCCAGTCTGCTCGTTAGTCGATACTCGTGGTTACCGATAGACTAACGAAACCTCGAATAACTGAATCAGACGATTCGTTTCTTATATAAAAGGTCTGTCTCATTCACCGGCTTATATCTCGCGTCATCGTTACATGATATACAATTGCATGTAGATATATTCTTGTTTTAGTGTACTTGAGTCGTGATAGCACCGTATGCGACCGATGTATCACTGATGATACACTGAAAACCAGGTATAGTACCCACTTAGTTGCACGAGAAAGAGGATTGACACACAAATTGAAATAAACGAACTGACGACACCGAGAAACTGAATGATAAAATGGTGATGGGTGAAAGAATGAGAGCACAAGAACGAGAGAGAGTGGAAGGGGGCACAAACAGTGAGAACAGTGCTACAGACAATAGAGACAATTATTGCACACAGACGGAGGAGATGATGGATCAAACGCGGTACCATTTCGGCGCCCCTTTATCTTCTTTCACTTATCTTTTCTTCTCTTCTCTTTTTCTATCATCTCTCTACTACCTACCTATAACCACCCCTAGTGAGCGCTTTCCTCTACCTACCCCCTCTTATCGTAACACGTTTCGCGTTTATTTCGCCTTTTAACCTCTTTAACTTTGATACAGGCACACGAAATGCGATTCAACATTGCGCATTCAATCGTTCGTTTTACTATTAACGTATGCAAAATAAGATAATTTTATGTTACGAACCTTTCATTTAATGAAATGCCGCAGATGTCCATAAGATACTTATAGAAATGTTTTAATATGTATAAAGTAAACAACGAATGTTGAACATATCGTATAGCTTTCAAAGTGATTCGAAGTGTAAATGTTGATAATGTAAATCTCCGTTCTCTGCTTTGTAAAATTAAACAAGAATAAATTTTCTTTTAAAAAATACAAAAAGGATTCAAATCCAAATATCCAAATATTTATACAATTTTTTTCAATTTTTAATAGCAAATTTTCCAAATAATTTAGAAATACTCCATAGATTACAAAATTATCATATCATGAAAAAATTTACAGAAGAATAAAATTATTTCAAACGCGTCCTCCAACACGAATTTTTCTTAGCCAATTACACAAGCTAAACACCCTATGTATAAAGGCAATATCATGAAATGGGATTACACGCATGAATGATGTCTCGAGATCAAGCAGGAGACACTTCTCCAAGGATTACGATTCGCAAGATTGAAAGAGTTATTTCAGGTCATAGGGTTAAGTGAACTACCCTGTATAAAAGGGAGCAACGCATGAGCCCACCCTCTGTTGTCGTTGCGCGTACACACAGTTATGGGAATCCCCTAGCGTGAACCGAAGATCGGAAGAGTGGGCGGTACCCGGTTCGTGATCGTGCCGTTTGATACCACGTGCTCAGTGTGGTTAAAGCACAAGGGAACTTTACGTCCTCTCATTTTGATATCAAAGAGTTCTTCCCCATTCCGAGGATCTTTAAATCGATGTTCTTTGACTTTACGAAGCTTTCGCCGGTAACATCCTCCTCGTCGCCCTGACTCCTTCATCTTCCTGTTATTCTTAACTCTTATTTTTGTATACTACTTTCCTTTGCGTGCGCTGAAAGTGACTGGTAAAAGCTTTCACTTTATTGCCGATAATTGCAGAAGAGGAAGAGGTCGTTGTTCAAAGAAGCTTGTTAGATGCAATAAACGAAAGGTCAGGAAGACACGATCCCTTTTTTCTTTCTTTTTTATTTTCGTAGCCCACCCGGTATTGGTTGTAGTGCACGATTATTAACATTTATACTCCCTTTCGATTCAATGAAATATTGTAATCGTATTAATAACACCGGTACGATTGTTCTTCCTGTTCGAGCCAATACTTTTGTGATACGGAAGTGAATCACGTTATTAATATATCTGTACCTATCTGTATATAAAATGAGTCATGAATATGATAGAAGAGTTATAAAAATTTTTAACCCACTTTTTATCATAAACTCTACTTGGAAATTTAAGTATGTATTTAATACAATAACGGGCATTATAAAGCTCATACTAGGGTTTTTTTTAATAAACTTCTTTAATGCTAGATTACTACTCTGGTAAATCTGTGAAAATTATATATTGGATTATGTTTTAGTATTAAAAAATAATATTTTGTTTATTCTTATATTAATTTTGATTGTAATTCAATAAACCAATTATGCGCTATCGATTTCTTAAAGAATAGAATTGAATAAAAGTTTTAATCGAGTTCCTTAAAATAGATTAACCTCTTGCCTTATAATATCGAGTCACACTCATGGGGCAAACTATTCTATACAATGAAAGCAAATTGTATTTATAACATAATTGGTTTGTGAACCTTGACTTCTAATTTTTAAATTTCAAATCTAGGACTAATATATGTTATAAATATTCATTATGATATTTCAGATTTATAATATTTTGAATAAAGATTCTAAATAATTCATATTTCTAAATATTCTAATATCTCTAGATCTAAATATAAAATATTAAATATAAATTAAAATATATTTTAGTAATTTATATTTAATATATAGTTTTATATTAAAATGAAGAACAATTAATGTTCATTTAAAATAAGATAGATAGAAAAATTTGAAATAATTATTATATAATTATTTTTAAAGTAGTAACGAAACATGTTACTTTATTCTCATAAATGTAAAGAATTGTAGCACAAACGTAGCACATTGTAGCAACGATTAAATACCTAATATGATTATAAATTCCTCCAAGTGTCGAAGCCATTAGAATTTAAAGATTCATATGTATCATGAATTACAAATAGTTGTATGTAATTCCCTATTCTAATAGAAAAAATAGTTGGAAATGAAATAATATGAAGTAATAATGAAATGTTGTTTTCATGATATTGATATACAGGATGAATACAAAATTTCAAGTAGTTTACAACATAAAAATTAACTAAATTCTCATTTAAATTACATTTTTACAGTTTTCGTTATTTCAAAAGCATAAATGGAAGCGAGAAAATAAGTATATATAACAATTCTATTCATGAAAATTGAAAGAAATATATAAATTGTTTGATGTCTAAGTCTAACAATTTTTCAAAAAATCAAAGTTGAATGTAATTCGTCTGTTCAAAGTAAAATATTGTTCTTAAACTATACTATACTACCCATTTTACTAAACACAAAATTACTAAAAAAAAAATTGACTAAATCTAGAAACGTTAAGAAATCAACTAAAATAAAAGTATTTTCATTCTTTTCAAATGAAAATGAAAATAAATAATGGTTTTGTTAAAAAATAAAAACCTAAATCATTTTTTCTTTAACGAAATCAAAATTATTGATGTAAATATAGTTTTTTTGAAACTTCATTCTTGAAAATTATTATCATTTTGGTAGATATAAACAAAAAATAATAAATTAAAAAAGAAACCAGAAGATTTACTAAATCTATTACCACATCAAACAAATGATAAAGGAAAAAACCTAGCACCGTTAAAAAATCAAATATTAAATCAAAGCATTCCATTTAATTTCCACGAGATTAATGAAAAACGTAGAACAAACGTCCCAAACGACAATTCCATTTTTGAATGGCAAAAGAGTAAATTACCAGGTGCCTACCGTCTCTCCAACGGAGCTTCAAAAATATCCGAGAATCGTAGAAGCAAACCGTGGTTCCCTTGCGAGTAACAATGGGAACACAGGAGAACGGCCGAGTGAAAGAGGCCGAGGGAAAGATGACAATATTAAGAAAGCTTACAGAAACGTTCGCCGTAAAGGTTTATTGGCGTGAAGGAGTTGTGGAGCGTGTCTACATCAAAGGCGACCGCTTCTGAACTCTCTATTCCCTTTCTACTTGAACCCTCGCCGACATCTCGTCACCACCTCCACTTCTATCAACTACCACTGGCGTCCATTCGCTCTGCCAAGGTTGTGCACGCAACCAGACACTCACCCCCGAATGTGTACCCTAGGCACATTCACCACGTGCGAGTTCCTGCACCGTTGGTTATTAACATCCATTACCATCTCAAACGGGACGCATTGCGACGCACGATCGAATCTCCACATCGATTAGGAACCGGTTAACTGAACGTAAGAAATGGATATATTATTTTTCCATTTCCTCGTCCAACGTTTAATCGTTCGAATTCCTTTATGTACACTCATCCATGCGTGCTCTTAATCTTTGAAAAGTCTAAAAAATGTTTTAAAACAATTGGTGGATATGAAAATAAATGAGAAAAACGAGAGATTAAAGGATAGTTATGATGAAACCCTTAGAAGATTAATCCTTAACCGATTCATCTTTAATTACAAGGTACACCAATAAAAAATTTAACTATATGGTAGTATAATAAGGTATTGCGTGTATTCTTCACTTATTTTTCTTCTAGATAGCTATTTTTCTATGCAAAAGATAAAATTTCATAATAATTTTTTAACACGAAGAAGATTATCCGATAGCATATTTAAATTTGTTTGAAATGATTGTTTATAAAATTTATAAAATTATAGTGTTCAAGCATCTAAATTCTATTCATGGAATATTTACTTTTTTAAAATATAAATAAATATATATAAATATAATTTCAATTCTGTATTATTAAAAAGATTAAATTCACGTTTGAATTTATCAGTTGTTATTAGAAAACTCAACCTAATTGAAGATTACTGAGACACTTAGCATGATGTGATACTTGAGAGCGAAATTATAATATTTATAATCTTTGAGATATTCTAGAACTCCACAGTAGCAGTTAAGGATTAATCATTTTAGAGTACAAGGAAAATAAAAATTTATGAAAAAACCGAATTTATTTCTAATATTCTATCTTGGAAATATACCAAAAATATATATAATTGACAATTTTGAGACTTAAATATTATTTCTACTATCAAATGTATCTTGTTGAGATTTATACATGTATCTCATGATTGGAGCAATTGAGGTATTATCGGATAACATTACACGTTACAATATGTTATAATTGAATTATTAGTATTTGGTTGTCAAGTCTAGCATGTAATTATCTGTAATCCGTGCAATCTGTTTCATTTAGTCTTTAATTAGTCTTTAATTATCAGTGTTATCTACCTAATTAATCGCATAATCAAAAGTTTCATCTTGTACGCTCAAATATTACTTAATTATAAAAAAAATTGAACTGAATTTTATGAGAAATAAGAGATTTTAATCTTCATTGTATTTTTATATCATATAACAGATAGACTCGATTAAGATAATTACTTTCAATTAAAAAATATACGATTAAATGCACAAATAATATGATTTGCAATGGAAAACATTTTGTTTAACAGAATTATATGTTCTTATTCGAGTATGATATCGGTACGATGCATTAATTTAATGAGCTAAATCACGTATCGTGATTTACCTTTACTAACATTCCATGAACATCAGCCGATGAAATTTTCCACCGTTTCAATCATTCAACAGTGATTCTCGACTGTTACTACTATAAATAAAACTTTCATCTCATAATGTATATGTTATGATTTGCTTAATTGATTTTAAAATTTTTTATAATAAAACCTAAATTATCTTGGAATCAATTGCAACTAATAATCTAAAAGGGGGAAAAGAAAAAATTAAATTTGACCTTATTGTCAATAATCCCTCCCCTTACCTAATCAGATCAAGCATCTTTCCAAACAATTTCTCAATGGGATTGTAACTGAACCAGGAAGTAAGTAGTGTCTTAATTATTCGCCGCATTTATTGTGAACTGTCGTCAATTACGGAAAGAAGCCCAGAATAATGGACGGGGAGCTCGCGGAGGAGAGGATAGTAGGGGAGAGTGAGGGTGAGGGAAAGAAGAAGGACTCACGTCGACTACGATTCTATCGGTTTTTACTGAATTATTTATAAAATCACTGATTGATATTCACGATTATCAGAAGAGAA